CGCGCCCCCTTTCCCCCACCCCAGAGGCAGCCATGGCTGCAGAGAGCCCCGTGGAAAGTGTCTGGGAGGAAGCGCCGCGTCCTGTCTGTCTGGAGGATTTCACAGCCCCTGTCACTCTGGAGCGTGGGCACAATTTCTGCCAGGCCCCCCTCAGCCCTCAAGGCAGAGACACTGAGCAGCAGGGACCCCTCCAGCCCAACCGGCAGCTGGCAAACGTGGTGGAACTAGCCAAGCCGCTGAGATTCCAGTCAACAAAGAGAGCAAGATGGGACGGGGAGCACCAAGAGGCTCTGAAGCTGTTCTGTGAAGAGAATCAAACTCCCATCTCTGTGGTGTATGACAGATCCCAGGCTCACATGGTGGTGCCCTTACAGGAAGCTGCCCAGGAGTACAAGGTACAGAGTTGCTGTCCAGTGTGATGGGAAATAACATTGGCTTTTAATTACAGGCTAATTTCACTGACTGTTACCGGCCACAGATGTGAACCAACCAGTGTAAAGTAGTGGTCTCCAGCCTTTTAAAGTATCACTTTTTGAATTTAAGTGCAATCCAGGATCTACCTCAAACCCAAATACCCTTGCCCCACCTCCTTTGTGACCCTTTCCGAGGCCCCTCCTCTGCTCACTACATCCCTTCTCCCTCCTCCATCTTTTCTCCCTTTCATCAGGCAGGGGCAGAGGGTTGGGGTGCAGGAGGAGGTTCACGCTCTGTAAGGGAGTTTGAGCTCAGGGGACTCAGGATTAGAGAAGGGGCTTGGGGTGCAGGAGAGGTACATGACTAGGACAGGGATTCAGGATACAGGCTCCAGCTGCACACTGCTTACCACAGGTGACTCCTCTGTGGTGGTGCAGTGGGGCTCAGGAAGGCTCACCCCAGCACCACTCTCAAAAGCAGCCTACAGACTCCCTCTGTTTGTAGAGATAGAATGCAGGGTGGGAGAAGGAAACAGCTCCCAGGCAAAGAGCAGGAGATGTGCAGCAGCAGGGAGAGGGGGCAGCTGAAGTGCTGCACTTGATAGCCTCTTAGCCAAATCAGTCAAGATCACCTGTCAGAGGCTCCAAGATCTACTGGTTGGTGACCGCTTCTGTAAAGCCTTCATGATACAAGAGATGCTGTAAAAAGTAAATGTTCTGCCTTTGTGGCAACTTATGTCAAGTCTTTACAGATACCTGATGTGGGAAATGTTTCTCTGAGGCTCTAAATCCTGAAACCCAGTCCTCACTGGTGGCAGGAGGGGTGTTTGCACAAGGGAGGGTGTTAATAATCAGAGAGGTTCAGATTACAGGAGCAATAGGCCACTCTGTCAGTGAGCTGCCTTGGGACTGGAGAAGAGGAGGTTACAAGCTGTTACTGATTGGATGAACAGGAATAATAATCTGTCATTTGCCTTATAGATCCGCAATGACATCTGGGCCCTCCACAGTCACCAGCACGGGAAAGTCCCTGCTCTGAGCAGGTCACAGTCCAGTTAGACAAACTGTGGGAAGGGAAGCTGGGGCAGCAAGTTGCTTATAGTCGCCAAACACATCAGGGATAGAGTTCGGTCCTGAACCCTGGTCCAGTTGTTAGACTACACTGCTCCCTGTCCCTCAGCATCACTGAACAGTGATGAAGTGTGGCTGTTAAGAGAGAAAGATGCCCTAGGCTCATCAGGGAGAAGAGGTTTCCCACTGGGATGCTGAACTTCTGGGCTGCTCCGTGAGGGGTTAAACTCTGATGCAGCAGCTGGCACTAGATGAGGTTGCTGGGCTGGATGCTGTGTGGGGCTCCGAGTGCCTTCACTCCACCCATTGCAGGGTTTCAGGAAGCACAGGTCTATGTGCAGAACTGGGATTCAACTGGATTGTAGCAAGAGTTCAAACTGGTTTAACTGATGAGTTAATGTTTTTCGGTGCTAATTACCGGTTAAACTCCCCACTACCCCTGAAGTGCCCACTTGCCTCTGGCAGCTAAAGTCAGTCTGCAGCTGCTAGGCGTTCCTATTGGCCAGCAGTTCTTGTGGCCACCCTGGCAGACCTCGCAAGAGATCCCTGGCCCCAGGAGAGCCCATTTCCACTACCAACCCTGCCTGTCAGCAGGTTAAAAAATACTGTCACTGATAAAATTGTAATCGGTTACATGATTAGTATTATTAACCACCTGCATCATTCTTTATGAAGGTGCCACCACTGATCTGTCCCCCACGCTCGTAGGTGTTCTGCTACATCTGCAGTCTCCTCTTGTGTATTTTTCTATGAACAAAGACATGTACAGAGCTGAGTCCCTATTGGACAGGGGCAGAGCTCCACAAAACTGGGATTCTCTTAAAGGCAGACATATAGGCTCCCAACATCTAAAGTGGTTTGCCCTCGTACTTATTTCTGTTTCTTCAGGAAAAATTGGAGACTCATTTGAAGACTCTGAGGGAGAAGAGAGAAAAGCTGCTGAAAAGGAAAAAAACAGCAGAAGGGAAAAGCCAGGAGTATCTGGTAAGTGCTTGTGGCTAGGGACCAGCAGGGTCTGGCAGTGAGAGGGCTCTGTTAGGAGGCAGACTCCTGTGTGGCCTTGGTGAGGTTGGGCTTGTCTATGTTTCTCTTGCTGGCTGAGATCCATGTGTAGAAAGGCCTTGAGCATCCATGTCAACGCATGAGTTAATGTCCATCCTTTGTGGCTTTCCCAGACATCCTCCCCAAGTGAGCTGAATGCGCCCCTGAAAGACTGTCTGCTCACGTGGTGCATTTATATGTTTGCTTCTTTTTCCTCCCTGGGTATCTCTGTCAGGCTGGTGCTGAGTCCTGCCTCCTGCTGCTGTGGATATGAATTCCCAAAGCCCATGAATAACAAAAGATGCTGCCGACGACAGACATGGGAACATCCCTTTCAGAGGGACATGGGGCAAAAGAGATGCTGGAAGAGACGCATCTGCCTAGTAATCACAAAGAGTCAAATGTTGCAAATTTTAGGGTTTTCCATGGAATTCTCCCTACTGCACACTCAGCTCCCCGTGAAAGGGCTGTGGGCTCCATCTATGCCCCTGACCAGCCCTTTCCCTGTTTTCACACACAAATGGACCCAAGCCAAGAGGCAGATGATTGTGGCTGAGTTTCAGCAGCTGCTGCAGTTTCTGGAGGAACAAAAGCAGCAACTCCTAGCTCAGCTGGAGAAATTAGATGTGATTGTGAGGTTTCAGATTGACACTGTCAGGAACCTCTCCGTGCAGATTTCCCATATCAGCGAGGGGATCGGTGAGCTGGAGGGGACATGTCAGAAGCCAGCAAATGAATTCCTTAGGTGAGACTGAAGGACAAACATCCCTGCTCCTCACACAGTGAAGAGGGGTTCCTGAATCACAAGTGCTGGGTCCCAGTTGTCATATTTCAGTGCAACACCTTGTGCATTGCTGCCATGTGAATGACACTTGTGCTTTGTAGAGTTACAGGCACAGATCTATTAGAGATAACAAAGCCCCATTCACTCGGGGATCCATATCCCTGGGGCCAGGGTAGGGCCTCTCTTCCCAGGTTTGCAAAATCCCTTCTCAGAGGTCCCCTGTGTGTGTCCAATGGGGCTGAGATTCTTTTCTGTGTCTTTTTTCTAGGACGTCAGAAGCACCCTGAGTAGGTACGTGGCTCTCACTCCCCTCACACTGCACAGAGCAGGGAAAAGGCTTGGAGTGGATGTTAGCACCACATCTCCCCAGAGCTCTACAGCCAGATTTTAGATGTGAATATCTCTAATGCATTTAATTCTGAGGGTCTCATCCTCGCACTTTAGACTCTGGAATTCCCCATTCAGGGCAGAGTCTGACCTCAAGTGTTTCCTAGAGCTCTCACCTCCCTGGGGACTGGCTGCCTCAGGACTGTGGGGTGGGACATGGGCCTGTCACTGCTGGGCATTGGGCACATTCAGCCCAGGGCAGCAGGGACTAAGAGTCTGTCCCTCCCGAGGGCTGTTTGGAGACCTTGGAGACCTGAGCTGGGGAGAGGGGAGCTGGTGTCTCAGTCTAATCCCTAGTGGACAGATTCCTTCTGCCCTTCACATGGGAACCTCCTCTCCCTCAGCATCTAGAGGCCAAGGAGTGAGTTGGCCATGGAGACTCTATTCCCCTTTACACCCCCAGCCAGTCTCCCCAGGCCAGAAGTGAAGAACAGAAATGGGATCTTTGAGGGGAAGGTTGTATGGCCATGAGATGTGTTGTCCCTGTTCTCAGGCTGGGAGAATTGGAGGAATTCTAACTCCAGGCCTGTTAGAGCTGAGACTTACTAGCCAGAACTTATCAGCAGTAAACGACATAAAATCACATTGAATTGTTTCTGTCCAGGAGTGATATGGGGCAATTCCAGCTGCCAGAAGAGATTTCCCCTGAACTGGAAGAACAAGTCAGAGGTTTCTCCCAGAAAACGATTGCTCTGTCGGAGACTCTGAGGGAGTTCAAAGGTACCTGGAAGGGATGGATGAGGGGAAAGCAGTTCAAGTATCTGAGACTGTTGAATCTGGCCTCTGAAGCCAACCTTCCCCTGCCTCAGTTCCCACATGGAGAAGGACGGCCTCATCACACTGCTCTCGTTAGAGACACTGAGCGAACAGACCCAAGTGCTTGCAGATAGAGCCAGGGGTTTGCAAACTCTGAACCTCCCATTCCGAGATCAAAATGGCTAAAGTTACTGTGATGGCCACGTGTTCCGCTACCACAGCTCCAGGTTATGATAAGAGGCAGTAAGTGAATGAGAAACCAGGAGGAAGGGGATGAGGAGGGAAGAGTAAATCTCATTTACAGATTCTCTCTCCTGGGACAGGTGTGAGGCTGCAGGGATATTGGTTCCATTGTTGGGAGGTGCCCGAGTGAGAGAGGAAATGAAAGTTTCAGACTCTTTCATACTAAATACCTGGGTGTGTCTCTGATAGAATTGAAATGCAGAGTTCCGAGTGGGACATTGTTATAAATAGGAGAGGCTGGAATCTCACCTCTCTTATCCCTTCCCCCACTAGACACTCTGCCCTCTGCACTGGAGAGAGCAAGAGGAAAATCCTTTGGAGCTTTCAGACGAGGTGAGTTTGCTGGTGGAAATTCTTTAAGAGATGTGAGAATTCCTGTGAAAACATCTTCATGGGATTGTCATTGGATTTACCAACCAAACCCAGGGACCACAGTGCACAAAGCACTAAATCACCCAGTGATCAATGAGGAGCCCCAGGGTTGCTGCATGGGGACTTGTGGACATTTGGAGAAACAGTAGTCTATAGGTTTGTGATGCTAAAGGGGTGAAGTTAAAGCACAAAACGGACGGCACCATCAGGCTCAGATTTCACTGCTCATTCAGTTTCAATATGGGCTTGGTTTCAAACAATAAATAGGCTGAAAGGCTCCTTCACCCAAACTCCCTCCTAGACCCCTTTATCTGTCCTGTATCCCAAACCGTTACCCCAAGCATCCTCCTCCTCTCAATGCCCATCCCGGATCCTCTATTTCCTGCATTTATGTCATGGAAGAGTGCAGCTCTCAGCCATTTTTCATTTGGCTACCCCATCAAAATGAATTACCCACCCTGTCGAGTGGATACAGCTCAGTGAGAGCCAGTAATTGAAAGCTGAAACGAGACTATTTCAGACAAGAGAAGAGGCATGAATGTTTGATAGGGAAGAAGATTCGCTGTTGAAACAAATTAACAAAGAGCTGGTGGATTCTCCCATCTCTTGATGTCTTCAAATCACTGCGGGACTTTCTAGAAAATACACTGTGGGGAAACAGAGCTTAGTGCCTGGGTAACCGGACTAAGTGTAATCGCTTGTGCCACTGAGGGGGTCAGACTGCATAACTGAGGATATCTTCTGATCCCATGAATCTTTAGATCTCATCCTGCAAACACTCAGCACAAGTGTTTAATAATAAGCACACGTATTTAATAACAACACCACCATTCAGATGCTTAACTTCACTGATTCTCTATGGGTATGTCTACACTACAGCAGTAATTTGAACTAACTTAATTTGAATTAGTTAATTCGAACTAAGCTAATTCGAACTAGTGCATCTAGACCTAAAAACTAGTTCAAATTAGTGTTTTGCTAATTCGAACTAGCATGTCCACATTGAGTGGACCCTGAACCGAGGTTAAGGATGGCCGGAAGCAGTGCCGGCAGGGCATCAGGTTAGGACTTAGAGCGTGGAGCTGCTATCTCAGGCTAGCTGAGGGCTGTGGTTAAAGGGACCCAATCCTCACCCCGGACAGACAGTTCTCAGGGGTTCCCCGCTCGCTTGTCTAACTCGATGAGGGACAGCAAAGCAGTCCTGGCTTGGAGTGCCCTGAATGCCTGCACTCGGCACATCACAGCACTCGGCCATTAGACCGGCTGCACTTGCCGCAGGCTGCCATCCGGGGGAGGGTGTGTCAATCGGGGAGCTGCAGGAGAGCATTCACCCTGAGGAGCCCACAGAGCCACCCCAGTCCTTCCCATCGGGGGCTCGTACCCCATTCCTCCCTCACCTCCTTCCACTTACCCCTCCCTAGCCCCCCTTCCTGATGTACAAAATAAAGGACACGTGTGTTCAAAAATAGAAACTCTCTTTATTGAACAAAATAGGGGGAGACTGGAAAAAGGAGGTGGGAGAGGGGAAGAGAGAGGGTGGGAGAGGGGAGGGCAACTAAAATGATCAGGGGTTTGGAACAGGTCCCATATGAAGAGAGGCTAAAGAGACTGGGACTTTTCAGCTTAGAAAAGAGGAGACTGAGGGGGCGATATGATAGAGGTTTATATGCACCCTCTCCACATCACTCATGCTTTTAAAGAAAAGTTCTTCATTAGTTCCCATAATAGAAGGACTCTCTAGAGGACACCAAATTAAATTAATGGGTAGCAGGCTTCAAACTAATAACAGAAATTTCTTCTTCACAAAGCAAATAGTCAACCTATGGAACTCCTTGCTGCAGGAGGCTAGAACTATAACAGAGTTTAAAGAGAAGTTAGATAAATTCATGGAGGTTGGGTCCATGGAGTGCTATTAGCCAGGGGGTAGAAATGATGTCCCTGGCCTCTGTTTATGGAAGGCTAGAGATGGATGGCATGAGACAAATGGCTTGGTCATTGTCTTTGGTCCATTACCTCCAGGGTACCTAGTGTTGGCCGCTGTCTGCAGACAGGCTACTGGGCTAGATGGATCTTTGGTCTGACCCAGTACGGCCATTCTTATGTTTTTATGTTCTAAGATCCGGGCTCACGGTCGGGGTCTCACTTCACCACCTTGATTTTCATGCAAACCTGCTCCTGGGTGGCCAGGCTGGCAGCTCTCCTGCCCTAGACGGCCACTTTCCTGTGCCTAGTGTGGAGGTGATGGATGTTGGAGGTTTCCCCCTAAACCTCAATGAGGTTCACGATGTCCGCACTAGACAAGGCGGGTGCCCGCCTCTTGCGGCCCCGGGCAGGCTCCTGGGAGGCGCCAGGCC